AAAGCAAAGCTGGCGGCATCACAATTCTGGACTTCCAGCTCTATTACAAAGCTGTCATCATCAAGACAGTATGGTACTGGCACAAAAACAGACACACAGATCTATGGAACAGAATCGAGAGCCCAGAAATGGACCCTCAACTCTACGGTCAACTCATCCTTGACAAAGCAGGAAAGAATTCCAATGGAAAAAACGACAGTCTCTTCAACAAATGGTGCTGGGAAAATTGGACAGCCACAGGCAGAAGAATGAAACTGGACCATTTCCTTACACCACACACAAAAATAGACTCCAAATGGTTGAAAGACCTAAACGTGAGACAGAAGTCCATCAAAATCCTAAAGGAGAACACAGGCAGCAACCTCTTCGACCTCAGCCGCAGCAACTTCCTCCTAGAAACATCGCCAAAGGCAAGGGAAGCCAGGGCAAAAATGAACTATTGGGATTTCATCAAGATAAAAAGCTTTTGCACAGCAAAAGAAACAGTCCACAAAACCAAAAGACCACCAACAGAATGGGAGAAAATATTTGCAAATGACATATCAGATAAAGGGCTAGTATCCAAAATCTATAAAGAACTTATCAAACTCAACACCCAAAGAACAAATAATCCAATCAAGAAATGGGCAGAAGACATGAACAGACATTTTTCCAAAGAAGACATCCAAATGGCCAACAGGTACATGAAAAAGTGCTCAACATCGCTTGGCATCAGGGAAATCCAAATCAAAACCTCCATGAGATACCACCTCACACCCGTCAGAATGGCTAAAATTAACAAGTCAGGAAACGACAGATGTCAGCGGGGATGTGGAGAAAGGGGAACCCTCCTACACTGTTGGTGGGAATGCAAGCTGGTGCAACCACTCTGGAAAACAGTATGGAGGTTCCTCAAACAGTTGAAAATAGAGCTACCATACGATCCAGCAATTGCACTACTGGGTATTTACCACAAAGATACAAATGTAGGGATCCGAAGGGGTACGTGCACCCCAATGTTTATAGCAGCAATGTCCACAATAGCCAAACTGTGGAAAGAGCCAAGATGCCCATCGACAGATGGATGGATAAAGAAGAAGTGGTATATATACACAATGGAATATTATGCAGCCATCAAAAGGAATGAGATCTTGCCATTTGCAATGACATGGATGGAACTGGAGGGTGTTATGCTGAGTGAAATAAGTCAATCAGAGAAAGACATGTATCATATGACCTCACTGATATGAGGAATTCTTAATCTCAAGAAACAAACTGAGTGTTACTGGAGTGGTCGGGGGTGGGAGGGATGGGGTGGCTGGGTGATAGACATTGGGGAGGGTATGTGCTATGGTGAGTGCTGTGAATTGTGCAAGACTGTTGAATCACAGATCTGTACTTCTGAAACAAATAATGCACCATATGTTAAGAAAAAAGAAAAAGAAGAAGATAGCAGGAGGGGAAGAATGAAGAGGACTAAGTCGCAGGGGGAGATGAACCATGAGAGACGATGGACTCTGAAAAACAAACTGAGGGTTCTAGAGGGGAGGGGGGTGGGGGGATGGGTTAGCCTGGTGATGGGTATTAAAGAGGGCACGTTCTGCGTGGAGCACTGGGTGTTATGCACAAACAATGAATCATGGAACACTACATCCAAAACTCATGATGTAATGCATGGTGATTAACATAACAATTAAAAATTGTAAAAAAGATTTTATTTATTTATTTATCAGAGATAGAGAGAGAGAGAGAGCACAAGCAGGGGGAGTGGCAGAGGCAGAGGGAAAGCAGGGTCCCCACTGAGCAGGGAGCCCGACTCAGGGCTCGATCCCAGGACGCCGGGATCATGACCTGAGCTGAAGGCAGATGCTCAACCGACTGAGTCACCCAGGCGTCCCTCAAGTGTTTTTGTCTAAACAAAAAATTTGACAGACCTACCTTTCTACGGAATTTTTTCTACGGAATTCCAGCTATATTAACCTCCAACTTTGGTACGAATTCAATTAAGAAAAATGTATTTTTGGCCCTCTAGTGGTATCAGGAAGTGGGTGCTATTTTGGTTTTTTTTAATGCTAACATAATGATATAACATTCCTACGTCTGATCAAACAAAAACAAAAACAAAAAACCCAGGCTATGATACCTTACAGCTTTAAAATAATCAAGGAAGTATTTTTAAAGTGACTACAAACCTGGCAAAGGTCAGTCCTATTCCATTATCTGCAAATCTAGAAAAGAGAATAAAAGAACACTTGATTTACCACCTCATGTAACAAGAGATAAGTTCTCTCAGGATTCAAGTTTTAGGAAATGCAGAAGGTTCCAATAATGTTTACTCTCCAAGACCACAGAAAGCCGTTTCACTTCCCAGTAGCTAAAAGCACAGACTCCACAGTGAAGGCACCCAGTTCAAATCTTGGCTTTGCCGATTACTGGCTACGTGACCCTGCGTGACCCTGCGTGACCTTGGGCAAGTGACTTGACCTGACTCTCCGTCAGTCTGTTCACCTAGAAGTTGAAGCAATAACATAACCCTCCTCATCGGATACTCAGGGGCATTAAACATCCTAATTAATCCCACCCCTTTAGGACAGTGCCTGGCACAGAGCAAGCAGGCTGCAGTGTGGGCTGTCATTGTTACTTTTATAATTACTTTGGAAAACAATTAGATCATGGTATCCTCTTTAAAATCTGCAACACTAATGCCCAAGCTACTTCTCCAGACTGAATACAAAATTAATTTTTTGCACGATGAAAGTCAGAGGTGACAGTAAAATGCCAAGGAGCTAACATCAGTGCTAGCCAGAAAAAAACATGTTTTTCTAGACTCTTGAACACCAACTCTTAGCTCAATGTACATCAAGACTTCTCCTAAAATTATACAAGTGGGAAAAAAGTGAGATGCTTACTGCCTCAAGTCATGTTAAGACATAAGTCAACAGACTTATTAAAGTGGAATTCACAACTTTTGTTTTGAATGGCAGTGAAAGAGCATCAGAAAAACTTCTGAGTTTCCAAAAGGAAAGGAAAAAAACCCAGGTAGTTTCAAAATCTTTATTTAGCTCTCTGACATAGACCATGATTGTTCTATCAAATTAAATCCCCAGTTTCTGTTCAATCTCATCAAAAAAAACTCTCATGTCACCAGACAAGTTCAATTCCAATAAAAGCAGCAGAATTCCAAACATTTGCAGTCTGTGAGCACGAGCGTACTTCCTCAGAGCTCACCCTGTCTATTAGTAATAATAATATGATTCCAGGGGCACCTGGCTGGCTCAGTCAGAAGAGCATGCAACTCTTGATCTCAGGGTTGTGAGTTCGAGCCCCACGTTGACTGTAGAGATTATTAAAAATAAACTTAAAAGTAATAATAATACTAATAGAATTCCAGAAACTATCACTGTACTTTTAGTACACTGGGGGTTTTTTTTAATAGCCTTAAAAAATAAATACATCCAAAATAAATAAATAAAATCATACATACATCGGTGTTATCAGATAATGACTTTGCAGAGAATACCTACGCTGAATTCTGAACGACAATGTCTCCCCCTCTGACCCAAGCTCCATTGTCATTATTTTTAAAAGAAATGAGCCTGTCAATTAAAGCAGCAACACGTGGCTTTTCAGGGTCTGCATCCTGATGAGGCCTAAACCTTGGGGTTAAAAAAAAAAAAAAAAGAACTTTTTAAAAAGGCACAGGAAACCAACTATTTACAATTTTAAGCTTAAGTGTCAAAAGGCAGGATTTATATTTGACCAAAACAAACAAACAAAATCTTAAGGCACAACTTACAAATTCATTATTTATATTTCAGATAGTGAAAAAAAGTTTACATTTACTTACATAAGATTCCAGAGAACTACTTTCATGAATTCTTAGTTATTTTTTTAAATCAACCTATATTATAGAATGGGATACTGCAGAACATTCTAAACACTAAAACCATTTCAAAACAAACAAACCAACCCTCAGACCAGGAAATCTGGTATGTTTTCACAAATACTTAAGCACGTGATACTAATATAAACATACTGAGGGGCGCCTGGGTGGCTCAGTTGGTTGAACGAGTGACTGCCTTGGGCTCGGGTCATGATCCTGGAGTCCCGGGATCGAGTCCCGCATCGGGCTCCCTGCTCGGCGGGGAGTCTGCTTCTCCCTCTGACCCTCCTCCCTCTCGTGCTCTCTCTCTCTCTCAAATAAATAAATAAAATCTTTAAAAAAATTAAAAAACATACTGAATAAATTCATCAGATATTTCAACATACATATATGTGAACTAGAATAGTATTGGAGTTGTGTGCTGGTGAAATGTTTTAGATACAGAGATAAAACTGTTCAAGATCTTAAACACGACTAAATTTAAGACAGACTGTATTTAATTAACTTATTCATTACAAAGACTGAATTTTACCTTATTTATTCTCTTCCTTCTAGAACACTTACAAGGACCTTAATAAAAAGGTCAAAAAATTGGTGTCAAAAACTGTCCCCTATAACAAATTGAATAAATAATTCCATAAGCTCACCTATTTTTTTTTTTTTAAAGATCATTTCTATCTTAATCTTACAAAGCTTGCGGTGGGGGGGAGAGAAACAACTAGATAGCTTTTGAAAAACCAATTTAGCAGTTTGAGATTTTCTTTTTTTTTTAAGATTTTGTTTATTTATTTGTCAGAGAGAGAAAGCACACAAGCAGGGGGAGCGGCAGGCAGAGAGAGAAGCAAACTCCCTGCTGAGCAAGGAGCCCGATGCGGGACTCGATCCTGGGACCCTGGGATCATGACCTGAGCCGAAGGCAGATGCCCAACGAACTGCGCCACCCAGGCGTCCCAAAAGTTTGAGATTTTCCAAACACGCAGTCAGCAAATACCATTCGCTCAAATGCCACTACCTTGGTTGCTGGCACACAGTAGATACTGTGATAGGAGAAGAAACCAGAGAACAGCAAGTGCAAAGATCCTTAGGCATGGCTGAGCTTGGCACATTCGGAGAACAAGCAAGTTGGCTGGAGAGTAAAAAGCATCGGGCAGGGGCGCCTGGGTGGCTTGGTCGGTTAAGCATCTGCCTTCTGCTCAGGTCATGATCCCAGGGTCCTGGGATCGAGTCACGCATCCAACTCCCTACTCAGGGGGGAGGCTGCTTCTCCCTCTCCCACTCCCCCTGCTTGTGCTCTCTCTCTCTCTCTCAAATAAATAAAACCTTTAAAAAGAAGAAGATAAAGAAAAAGCATGGGGCAGAGGACAGAGAGAGCTGAGCATGTGCCAGGCAAGGATGTGATTCTTTATTCTAAATGCAGTGGGAAAAGCGGAGCATAGACTAAGGCTGTGAGGGCCTGGGGGGGAGCAGGATACGGGCAGGTGATGGCCAAAGGGTACAAAGTTTTACTTACGCAAGACAAACAAATTCTTTTTTTTTTTTAGAGAGAGCACGTGCGCATGCGCCAAGGCTGGGCGGGGCAGAGGGAAAGGGAGAGAGAGAGAAATCTCAAGCAGTCTCCATGCTCAGCAAGAGCCCCACACAGGGCTCAATCTCATGACACTGAGATCATGACCTGAGCCGAAATCAAGTCAGACGCTTAACTGACTGAGCCACCCAGGCGCCCCTATGCAAAATAAATAAATTCTAAGGATCTACCATACAGCCTGGTGCCCATAGCTAATAATCTTCTATTGTGCATTTAACATTTGCTCAGAGTGTAGATCTTAGGGTAAATGCTCTTACCACAGATACATAAAAAATATTCTTAAATTTTTAAAATGATAAAGGAGGGACGCCTGGGTGGCTCAGTCGGTTAAGCACCTGCCTTTGGCTCAGGTCATGGTCCCGGGGTCCTGGGATCGAGTCCCACATCGGGCTCCTTGCTCAGCGGGGAGCCTGCTTCTCCCTCTGCCTCTGCCTCTCCCTCTGCCTCTGCCTCTCCCCCTGCTTGTGCTCTGTCTCTCTCTCTGACAAATAAATAAAATCTTTTTTAAAAAAATAAATAAATAATAACTTTTTAAAAAATAAAATAAAATAAAATGATAAAGGATGTGAGAGAAAACTTCGGGAGGTGATGGCTAGGTCTATGACCCTGACAGTGGTGATGGTTTCATGGGTGTATACCTATCCCCAAACTCCCCGAGGTATATACATTAAATATGCACAGTTACATGGTAATACCTCAAAAAAGTAGGTGGATAAATAGAAAGACAGACAGATAGATGTGACGGACAGTCTTCAGAAACAGGGAAGCAAGGAAGTGATACAACTAGATTTCACTTTTTTTTTTTTTTTAAACTGGTCACTAGCTGCTACTTGGTGAAAGGATTGTAGACAATGGACCACAGGAGACCAATCTGGCAAGCGTTATATCCGCCCTTCGACTGTGTATATGACCCATTACACTAAATAGCTCTGACCTAAGGGGTGAAAAGTCTGACTCTAGGCCATCACCCACTCTCTGGCATTGTGCTTGCTGGAAAACAGATTCGCAGTCATTACATAATATCAAGCAGACGGAAGAGTTCTGGAAAGAAAACTATACAATGTTCTAAAAGCAGGCAAAAAAAAGAAAGTATCATAAGGCAACACTGCTGCCGCCATCCTGTCTTTTCTGAAATTCTTTTTTTTTTTTTTAAGATTTTATTTATTTATTTGACAGAGAGAGACATAGCATGAGAGGGAACACAAGCAGGGGGAGTGGGAGAGGGAGAAGCAGGCTTCTCGCGGAGCAGGGAGCCTGATGCGGGGCTCGTTCCCAGGACCCTGGGATCATGACCTGAGCCGAAGGTAGACGCTTAACGACTGAGCCACTCAGGCGCCCCTTTTCTGAAATTCTTATCCATATAAATCAACTGCTGACCACTTGCTTGGATACTCTTTATTTTCAGCCTCTTTCCTACTTGATGTGTAGATGATAGCTATCTTTCCCAATTTTTATCATCCTCATTCATGAGCTTTCAGCATGCTTTCCAACCTCCCTTAACTGTCCATGGCTTTAAGTACTAGTTGGTTTTCATGCTCTTTCATTCCTTTGGATGAAATGTCCCAATCTCAAACCAAGAGTTTTCTTCGGTTACAATTTCCCATCTTTGGATGCCTGTCATTTCACATCTTGAAGACACAAGGAAAGGCTCATCTGATTAACTGGTGAGTCAACTTCCCCTTTGTTGAACAGACTAAAAATCTTCTGGATCCCAAGAGCCTGATGTTTAATTCATGGGCTGGCTTATTACTCATTGTGTTAGAGTTTTATCATTTTCACTCATGTCTGGACTGCATGAATGCATGTGGGCATAGTCTACACATTAGTTTATACAAAATTAAATGTATATACCAGCTGCCAAATGTCTTGTTACTCATCTTCTATAATCCGTTCTTTTCAATAACAAATTCCAAATGGAGTCTAATTCCCAATATGTGTGCATTTATAAACTGGCAAGAGAAATAATGAAGAGCAGAGAAAAAACTACCATCATCATAATATCATATACCCATACCCGGTAAAGAACTCAAGCCATTATGGATAAATTGTTTTATTGTCAAGTCTAATTCAGAATTCTGATGAATTCTGAAATATATATTCTCATCCACCCACTCATACACTCACATATCATTTTTTAGGGCAGGGAAGAGAGTCAACTGTGTTGTGTTTAAGGATCTTTCTGTTAATGCTAAGTAAAGTACACACTACTAGTTCTACCAGTTAAAATAAACTCTTAAAAAAGCAGGAGTGTCCTGCCAGCAAAGATTTCTTTGTTTTGCCAGTTACTATTCTCTTCTTGGTTCATCATTGGTTGTCATCTCTATGCTCCTTTTTCTTTTTTAAGTTCATCTCCTCTTTCTCTATTTCATATCTCACTCGGCTATTAGGTGTCTGGTAACTTGTGTTTTATTTAAATCATGTCCATAGTTTCCTGGCTTCTCAAATGCCATCTGATCGTTGCCTGAAGATATTTCAGGCTCAACTTGACCTTTAAGGAATCCTGATGAGTAATTTTACTAACTGTACTTTGCCCAGTTTTCTCCTGATCTCATGCTTTATTACTGTGTTGCAAGAACCCTGCCTCGCACTTAAATGCACTCACCAACCCACAGTGTGGCTCTTATCTTATTCCCTTCTGAACAACTGGACCTGGTATCTTTTTCTTAAATGTCTATCAACAGAGCCTATTAAAGCTAGCACGCTTTCAAAACCGGATGTCGGTCAGTCAACTTGAAGTATCGGGAAAATAACACGTATGCAGTTTCTGCTGAATAGGACTTTAAGTTGCTATCTCTTTTCCAGAAACTCTTATTTCCACTGGAGACACGTTATTTATTTTGGCTCTTATTCAGCACAGAAGAGAACTTTGTTGAAATGTTCTCCCTATTCCAACCACATTTTGCGGTTATAAAAGAGAGTAACATAGAGCCCAGCAATGATGGGACTCTGAGCCTACAGACAACTGAACCAAACTAGCTTGCTCATCAAGTTCAAGACCTTTCCCTGTGAAATACATGCAATGCAATGCTCCATTTTGACCACTAACAATAAATTCTACACGGCTTGTTTTCAGGAACAACACTAAAACATCTTAGCTCGTTTTTTCAAGGAATCATGCTCTGCTTTAGGCCAAATGTAGGCCCTATTTTCCATATCTCTCTCTCCTTTTTCTTTCTCATTCTGTGTTTCTCTCTAAGATCATTTAGAACTGTGAAAAAAATGGAGAAAGTACTGACTTCTTTGGCATCTCAGTAAGATTTTAAAATAAACACACCAGCCACAGGACTTAGAACAGCAAAAAAAAAATATATATTTTCCCAATGCCCTCCTGCAAACTTTGAAAACTTCAGTTTAAATGTGTTAGCAGAGGGGCACCTGGGTGGCTCAGTTGGTTGAGCATCTGCCTTTGGCTCAGGTCACAATCCTGGAGTCCCAGGATTGAACCCCGGATCCGGCCCCCTGCTCAGCGGGGAGCCTGCTTCTCCCTCTGCCCCTCACCCCACTCAAGCTCTCCTGTGCTCTCTCTCTGAAATAAATAAAACCTTTTTAAAAAATAAATTGAATAATTAATTAAATAAAAATAATAAAAGTGTTAGTGGAGAGGCGAGCACAATGGCTTAACTCAGGAAGTTTTCCTTTGGCAAGATACGGCTGGAGCGTGAGGTCCAAGGATGAGCCCTACCTTGCACTGTTATCCAAACAGAGGTACTCCCTTGGGTCTGCCACACTAGCGTTGGTTGTTTTGACACCTTTGTCAATAAACAAGCCAGCCTGGAAAATATAATAATGGACCGAAATGAATATGAGTCCTAAAGAATCCATCTACACATATATAAGGATTCATGAAAATTAGTTGTAGCTTCTCACATCCACCAAAAAGAGGCGAAAGGAACAAACAGCAAAGGTTTTATGAAAACAATTACTTTTCTGGATATTTTACTTAGTATAATTTTACTTAGTCATTCAACAAATATTTATTTAGTGCCTACCTTATGGGAGGCACCAAGCATTATACATTAACAAGAAAGCCATTGCCTTTGCTGTTGCTGACACATAAACTAGCAGGAAGATGTGCAATTAAATAAACAAATCCAGTGTGATAAGCATATGATGAAGGAAGCAGACGGTGCTTGAGCAACACAGAAGAGAGGCACCAAATGAGATCTTTCTCATAGGTGGGGGACACAGGATGCAGGCGAGGTCCCCACAAAGCAGTGACCTCCTAAAGCTGAAACAGGAAGGATGGGGAGAACACAGCCGCAGAAGGGAATGGGTTGGGATGAAGGGCGGGGACTGCATGGGAAGCAGCTGAAGAGCCCAGAAGAACGTACTCACGGGTGTCATTTGTACAAAAAGCCTGGAGGCGAGGGAGAGCATGGCACATCTGAGAAGAAAGTCTCAGATGGACTCACAGGAAACACAGGGAGGGAGGAAAGGCAAGGAAGAAGGCTAAAGAGAAGCAAATGGTGGACAACATAGAGTCGATACATTAGAATCAATTCAACGGGACTTTTAACAAAGGCAACGTAATTAACTGTACGTTAAGAAGGAACGCTCTAGCCAACAGGATGGATAATGGATTAGAAGGGGACAAAAACGGGGTAACTGGGGGATGGGTATTTAGGAGGGCACTTGATGGACTGAGCACTGGGTGTTACATGCAACTGATGAATCACTAAATTCTACCTCTGAAATGAATAATACACTCTATGTTACTTAAATTGAATTTAAAATAAATAAATAAATAAAAATTTTAAAAAAGAAAGGGACAAAAAGAGAGATAAGAGATAAGGTAAGACATGACCTCGATAATCCAGGAGAAAAACTAAGGTGACCTAGACCTGTGCCAGCCTCGTCAATGGGGGAAAATGGATCGAGCGAGACTTCTTTAGGAGGTATGATATGCTTTAGGAATTAACAAAATGTCTAAGGGTGAGGGAAAGGGAGTGATAAAGATTCATATGTTTCTAAGTTTGGGCAAGGGGGAAACCAGTGGTTTCATTCAGTGAAACAGAGCTAGGGGAATGGGTCTGAGGATAAAAATAGGAATTTTTAGTTTTGAACACATGTTACTTATATGTCCCTGAGACATCCAGATGGTACTCGGTTGGTGCTCAGACAGACGTGACGGACCTGGACTAGATACAGATTTGGGGGGCGTGAGCAACCACAGCAGAAGGAGTCAGTGTTGCTGTATTTACCACCGATCCAAAGATGACAGGTTACTCTCAGAGGACTCCCAGGGTTCAGTTTCCCTTGGCTATAAAGTACCATTCTGGACAGTCAGCCCAAAATTAAACAAGTTAAAACCTAATCATCTACTCATAATTTAGGCCTCATATTCTTATAATTAATAGATTATTACATGTCCTCATGGCATATGACATTAAAAAATTAATTAGAATGAGATGTTTTTTATATCACATAATTAGAAAATTTTGAGGATTTCCACTTTGAAATGGTACTCTCAACAATGATTAGCTTTAATCAGCTACTCAGCTCACAAAAAACATTAATTCTGACTAAGGTTTTTTGCTCTCTCAAGTCTTCAAGTGATTCCACTCATCAAACTACAGCACACTTAGGTTTTTAAAGGATCCTCTCAGTATCGGAAATGGGAAGTATTAATTGAACTTTGATGTGGATCACATCAGGGTAAAGAATCTGGGCACTGTATCATATAAATGAAAATATCAAAGTGCCTTGGGCGCCTGGGTGGCTCAGATGGTTAAGCGTCTGCCTTCGGCTCAGGTCATGATCCCAGCGTCCTGGGATCGAGTCCCACATCGGGCTCCCTGCGCCTTGGGAGCCTGCTTCTCCCTCTGCCTCTCTCTCTCTCTCTGTCTCTCATGAATAAATAAATAAAATCTTTAAAAAAAAAAAAAAGAAAATATCAAAGTGCCTTGTGATACAAAATGAGGCAAATATAAGTTATCACTCGAGGGTGGGGATGAATGCTAAATAGCGTGGAAACTGGACTTCCTAAGTGGCCTTCTGTTTACTTATCTGCATCATTTTAAGTTAGGTCAAATACCACAAATAATATTCTACTACGTAATTAGGATTAAATGCCCAAGAGGAAGTTCTACCGACACTGTGAACTGAGAGAAGAAAGTGTGCTTCTTATCTAATGTGTACATCCCCAAAACATGATATTAACCATTGAAAAGAAGGCAGAGGGAGGGAGGGGAGGAGCGAGGGAGTGGACAAAGACGCAGGGCTCAAGTGCATCATTATAATTATTCAGACCGCGTGCACACGCACTGTGTTGGTGGATATGCCTGTGCGTGTATAAATGGGATACCGTACATAACCCTGAATGTGGAAGGGTTATGGGTCTGTTTTTTTAATCACAAATTACTTTTTCTGATGACAAGTTTTACCGAAAACTGACATTTCTCACTTGTATTTCTCAGCATTCCATCCTTCAACCCTGGAAATCACATGAACCGATTTTGTTAAAACCTAGGAACCTACCTTAAAACTTGAATGGACCCTGTTGTTATAAAATATACCCAACGGAGTGAGTTCTGGTTTTGCTAAGAGCTGCAATCCACTGGATTCTCCCGTAGGTTCCTTGTGGAATAAATACCATATTCCAGCATCCTGTCATTAAAAGGGCAGGATCATTAAAGCCTTACTTTATAAAGCCACTCTAGGAAACATGCTCAATGAACTAAGTGCTTCGTAAGCAAACTGACTCTTTTCAACACTAATTTTTCATTGTTTCGGGCTCAGAATTGACTATGAAAGTTGTGCACTCATCTAGCACCCTCAAAGTCATTATAATCATGCTTTTTTTTAAAAAAACAAATTTAATTCTACTCGCAGTACTAGATAGAAATAATTGGCTGATACCAAAACTCATTTTCAAAAATATATTTCTCCCATCATTATTTACATTCAAAAGTTAATGCAGAATTAGAACCAAACAAGCCTTCCTTCCTTCCGTGTGACTCGGACAGCACGGCCTTTTAGCAATATGAGTGTTTTTCTGTTTACCTCCAAACCTGATCAATAGATGAGTCATATTCATTAAACAACTATCCGCCAACACGCAGAGCTCACTGACTTCTTTCAAACAACTCCAATGCCCTTCCTGTCCCGAAGCAAATTTTTGCCAAAGAAAAAAAACCACCACACGCATGAATCAGGATGCTGTCTCAGTCTGGATCCTGTCTGTTCACTTTCAGTATTACTGACCTTAACAGCACTAACAGAGCAGTTTTCACAATTTTTGACCCTCAAAATGAGATATAAAAATCAAAATTAATGGTCTTACTCTCCACGACAAGTGGTTTTTTTTTTTTTTATTGTATGGTTTAATTAAAAACCAGCCCCATGCAAAGAACGAGTTCAAGCAACAGAACTTTGATTGAATAGGTTGTTCATACTTTAACATACAGTCCAAAACGTATGCTATAGATTCACTTTTGGCAAACATTTGTTTAGTGACCACTCTGTGCCAGGGGTGGAGTAAGGCTATTCTCAAAGAATCGATAGTTTGATGGGAAATAGAGAAATAAAATATATGTATTAGGTATTACATTCATTGTAACAAAGTTTTTTAGAAGCATAGAGAGATGAACTGTGGGAAGCATATATACCTACCCACCAAAATGCATGCAATATTTGACATTTTTCCATGATATAGGTTTAGAGATGGGTCTTAAAACAAACTACGCTGAAAAAACGTCTTTGCCTCCTCTACTCTTTGGGGCACAAAACAGAGCACAGTAGAAGACCTGCAGGCTCCATACCACAGCCCTAAAAGCTGAGGGTAGAGCAAACCCTCCCAGGATGCAATGGAGTCTGGGGGGGGTGGGCATCAAGGGGGTAGCAACTGTTTCCTGTTAAACACTGTGGTGTCAAAACAGGTAAAGGGAGCTTTGTAAAAGGCAGTGGAAACGTACAAGAAGAAAGAGTTTGATTTATTTTGGGAGGAAAACCCTTGCCAAAACATGAGTTTTACTGGAACAGTTTTTCTAGAAAGAGAAGAAAGCACTCACAGAATGACAAGGAAGAAGAACGAATATGAAATGGAAAACGAGAGACCCGCTTTCTTCTCATCCCACATGAGCCCCAGGAAGGGTTTCTGGCAACCTCACCTTACATTTTTTCATGAACCATTTGCAATTTGCTTTCATCTTCAACCCATGACTTCTGAAACAAGCTGAAAGGAACCTCTGCTCTGGGTGTTCATTTGAAATGTAACACAGATCAGACGATGATCCCAGGGTAAGGCTGTGTATCAAACCCAGGGCCATCTTGGCTCCAAAACTCATCTTCTAATTAGAAACTCAGCACAAACTTGGTAGAGGCTCAACAAATATTTGTCAAAAAATGAATGGACGGAAAGCTGAAATGATTACATGTCCAAGTCTCTGCCCTGTTAAGTAAGAATTTTATGTTTTGGGCGCCTGGGTGACTCAGTGTGTTAAGCATCTGCCTTCAGCTCAGGTCATGATCCCAGGGTCACGGGATCAAGTCCCACATCAGACTCCCTGCTCAGCGGGGAGCCCACTTCTCCCTCTGCCCCTCACCCCACTTGTGCTCTCTGTCTCTCAAATAAATAAATAAAATCTAGGGAAAAAAAGAATTTTATGTTTTATGTTTTTAAGGAAAAGCACGGAAGTGAATTCCACCATCGCCCAGTGATGCCCGTATCCTAGGTTTCTGGAAGAAATACTCCCTTCCACTAATCTTCTACTTGGTCCTGGGAAATAATGCTAGGTATCTCTTTCCTTTTAAAAATTTTAATAGCCACAATATATAAATACGAATAGGCATTGCCACAAAGCCCCTATTTCTGTTTGCAGCACAGATATAATCATAATAGTATAATGTCTTCAAGAGTCACTTTTCCATTATAAATTAACAGTTTTAAATCACACTCAACTATAAATGTAAATCTCTCCCAAGTTTCTCCAGGAGACATTTCTGCTATCCAAAAATAGTCCATTTATTCTCTTAGGTTATTCTTGTGTGTATGCATGTCTCGGAAATAATTCAAGGCACACAGTTAATTTAAGGCACAGAGTTTAGCTGCTTTACCAAGGAGATGAAGCCCCTAAGTGTGTATGATCCCTGCACTGAACAAAAGGATATACACTTTGACCAGAATGACCCCTGTCATAATGTTCTACAGAATAACCCATTCCCATAAAGAAAAGCTAAGGCTTTCTTTGTTCATCAAAATTAAAAACTGAAATGATGAGGCACTCGGCCATGCATGTCTTGAATATGAGAAGCCAGAAAGATTGCACACGATTCACTAAAAATGCACTCTGAAGGTCCAATAACCTCACCCATCAGCCGACCTCTTTTCCTCCATTTGGCATCCATGTTACCACACTCATAAATACTAACTGGCATGAATGATGCAGAAGAAACAAAAAAGAATCTCAACCATATCCTGCTTTCAATGAAATAAGCAGTATAGAAAACAATGCCGTGCTTGAGTTAGATTGTCACACATGACATTACATCCATATACACCAGAATACTTGTAAACATGAAGACCAAACAACTGAAAGCATTTAATGTTACTTACCTGCGAGCCTGCAGCTGCATTACTAATCAGGTTATTGTTGGGATGAGCAATCCAGAAAGTTGAAACAGCCCTGCAAGGCATTTTTTTAAAGTGACTTAAACCTGACTCAAGCAAAAAAATCCTGCCCACTAAAAAACCTTCCCAAAACATCTTCCCCACAAAGTTAAAGGCCTTGGGCACCCGGGTGGCTCAGTTGGTTAAGCGACTGCCTTCGGCTCAGGTCATGATCCTGGAGGCTTGGGATCGAGTCCCGAATCGGGCTCCCTGCTCAGCAGGGAGTCTGCTTCTCCCTCTGACCCTCCCCCCCCATGCTCTCTCTCTATCTCATTCTCTCTCTCAAATAAATAAATAAAATCTTAAAAAAAAAAAAAGTGAAAGGCCTTGAACTGCACATAGGAGTTTTTCTCTCTGCCAGTTACTCACATGCAGTCCGTGGAAGGCACAGGGACGTAACTGCCGAACACTTTGTCTCGCATGGTGGTGCACATGGAGTTATTCCTATCAGTGGGGAGGAGGGTGCCGGGTTTGGTGAGGAGGCCCAGATTGTGGAACAAAGTATTTCTCTGTTCGACACCATCTTCCAAAAAGAAACAATGACCCAGTGTGTCAAATCCGATTGTGTCTTTAATCTGCAAAAACACAAGTGTGTAATGTCAATGGTAACATGATTGCTTGCGGTTTAAATGACAAGTGCTATCCATGCGGCACACTTGGTATAGAACGCAAAGAGAAGTTTCATCTTAACTGAAGGGGCAAAGCCAAATGCCAGGTGTTACCGATCTCTTAATAGAGAAAAACGTCAGAATTCTCAGTAAAAGGAGGACAGAGTAAGGCATGCGTTACAAGAGCTTAGTTACATCAAATGGAGAGGTTGTGACAACGCAGGAGAGTTAACAGGCATCAGTGTGGTGAGAGGCTACGTACCAGCAGACCATGTGTCCCATGCACAGTGAGGCAGCGTGAGAAGCTGTGATGAATAGATAAGCCATCCACAAATGTCGCGTGTCTGTACCCCCCCTTGTAATCCACGTCTCCACACAGGTGAAAATGAACAGGATACCGCCCCAGCTGCTGCTGACCCATGTGTTTCAATTCCACGTAAGAAAGATGGACAGAAGTGAAATTCTTCTTTATCTGTAGGACAAGATAACCAAAATCAAACCGATACACTTTGGTCACATTTAATTTTTATTTAAAGATTTTACTTATTTATTTATTTGAGAGAGAGAATGAGAGCATGAGAGGTGGGAGGGTCAGAGGGAGAAGCAGACTCCCCGCTGAGCAGGGAGCCCGATGCGGGACTCGATCCCGGGACTCCAGGATCATGACCTGAGCCGAACGCAGTCGCTTAACCAACTGAGCCACCCAGGCGCCCCAAACCGATACACTTTGGAATATTCAAGTAGCAAAAAAATACGGTTCTAATAGAAAATGTCTAAAGGGGAATGCATATTAAAATATTTCTTTTCTTTGGCACCCGGCTTTCCAGGATCTCCAGTTACTAATTTAGCAAATGCTTCTTTTTTTTTTTTCCTCTAAGTAATCTCCATGCTCAACATGGGACTCAAACTCACGACCCTCAGATCAAGAGTCACATGCTCTACCGAATGAGCCAGCCAGACACCCCAGCAAATGCTTCTTAACATAAGTGAGTACTTTCAAGAGCCATAAAAATAACCTCTAATTAGGAATAAAAGGAAATGTAACCAGAAAAGCCACAGAAATGATTTCTATATATGTAACGTGTTCTGATTTGTTCAAATATTTTGGTCATTTCCAGTCTTGTTCTTTCATTTCTATGAACTCCACCACAGTTTGATAAATAGTTATTTGTAAATTTTCCCTCAATGTTCTAGCACATAATATTATTTACTTCAGTTCTTTTTAAAAATTTCTCCGTGGGGCACCTGGGTGGCTCAATGGTTAAGTATCTGCCTCCGGCTCAGGTCATGATCCCGGGGTCCTGGAATCGAGCCCCGCATCGGGCTCCCTGCTCGGCGGGAAGCCTGCTTCTCCCTCTCCCGCTCCCCCTGCTTGTGTTCCCTCTCTCGCTGTGTCCCTCTCTGTCAAATAGATAAATAAAATCTTAAAAAAAAAAAAATCTCTGTGATCCACAATTTAAGCATTCTATTTTTAAACACTGGATTTTTAATCATACTACTAAAAACAAAGGAATAACGCTGACCAACATTTCAGTAAACAGTGTAACAGAAATGTTGTTAACAAGCATAACCTACTCAGTGCACAAAAACTGATTTTAAAACACACGTAGCCAAAACGCAGCCACGAAATCCAACCAGTTAGTATGCAGTGCAAGGCTTACCATATGGTAAGTGCTCAGTACTTTTACAGAATAAAAATCTGCATACAAAAAATATTTTTACAGAAAAATATTACTACTGCTTGCCCTTCCATAATATCAAGTTTTAAAAAAAGAGTCATTTGATCCTTTCAGAGATTGCATGCATGGGACAAAATGGTTTAACTACAGGTTGAGGTCAACTAAATGAAGATAGTAACTTTCTCTTTTAATTATGCAAAATCTCTTTACTGTCACTGAATAGAAAACTAAAATATGATTTCTTTTTAATATCCATATAGATCTCATTCCAAAACTTGAAAGTTTTGGGGCTCCTAGATGGCTCAGTTGGTTAAGCGTCTGCCTTCGGCTCAGGTCATGATCCCAGGGTCCTGGGATCGAGCCCTGCGTCGGGCTTCCTGCTCAGTGGGGAGTCAGCTTCTCCCCTCTCCCTCTGCTCCTCCCTGCCCTGCTCATTCTCTAATAAATAATTTTTTTAAAATATTTTTTTAAAAAAACCTTGAAAGTTATTGCAAACATGAATTTGGCAACCAAGTCTCATTAAATCTTTTTGCCTACCATGACATGTCCCCCAAAGGTATCATAATCAAAGAACTGGCACTGGTTTCCAGCATAGCATGAGTCCTCCATCTGTCCTCGGATTACAACATTCCGGGTGAGAATTCCGACCTCTGCTCTCATGTCTACACCATCGGTGATCTCACCCATGTGCAGGAACTGAGGGGTTTCTGGTTGACATGGGCCAAGAGACAAAAAAATATTTTAAAAAAGAACACATGAAACATCAAAAAAACAGTCCTATTTATTCTGCAATTCCAAGATACCAAAATTTATTGTCTGCTTCCATTCCTTAATACCTCAGAATCACAGAATACAAGGAAGCAAGGATGTTAAAGATTATTCACTCTAACCACTCACTCAATGTCAAAGCCACACACGGGGAGCTTAATCCTCTCCTGAATGGCACCAACATTCTGGAATATAGGTAAGTACCCTCTTTCTCTTCCTCCACCTCACTCTCTCAGGTCCCTGTCCATATGCTCTTGTTCTCATCCCCTGAGGGCCCATGAAGAAACAAATGCATGGCGAATCCAGAAAAATGAATGGTTTTGTAGATGTTGAGAACGAGGTATTAAGTTATTCTTGCTTTTACTTCAAAGCTAAAGTAATATGCGTTTAAATATTAACATTACAAACATTACCATCTTTCTTACTTATTTTAATATTAGCATGCATTCTTTTAAGTTTCCACCTTTTTGGAAGTCTAGAAACACTTTAATAATGAACTTTTCTCTGATGTTTTTATTACATAAACTCAGGAAGGAAAAATACAAATAAATCCAGCAGTTGAGATCACGGGAGATTCATTATCATGTAGACTTGTTAACAAGAGTGGGAATTTCCAAACAAACTTAATGCCAGATGGTAACAGTTTTTTGGGGGGGTTTGTTTTCTGCTTATGCGCTATATTATCAAGAAGGAAAAGTACAACATTGAATGAAGCACAGAGAGAAAGTGCCAAGTGAGCCAATCGTCCTATTTTTTTTTAAAGCAAAAGCTGTTTCCCTTAAACTACAAAGCTCTAAATTACCCATGAGTGTGTGCTTATTAAATAGTTACTGTAAACTCTTTGGTTTTATATCACAAATGTATATAATCTTGAGTACAGAAGGAAGGGAGACAATGTAATAAATGAAATGCATAGTAAATTCCACAAGTGAGGCAACATCTAAAGGAGATTCGCCTATTACGTGGCTCCGCCTATTACGTGGCTCAGGATAAGTACCTGGTAAATGTCAGCAATTCTTCCTAAACACAGCTTAGAGTACGGATCTCACTGCATATTGCTTTCCCTCAAAAAACACGATTCAAGCTTATGATAAAAAATGTAGTCTATGAAAATGCCTTTCTGGTTCTATTTTAAATATTAGTGAGATCTGTATTTTTGCCAAGGACGTAGGCACTCAAAAATCATGAGTTTTTTTTTTAATTAAGAAGAAATTCATATGTAAATATGAGTCAGTTGATAATTGGATTATTATTTGATGGTAGAAAATTAATAAGAAAGAAGTTGGAATCTTGGATCTTGGGGGAAAAAAAAAAATCAATCCGTCTAGTCCACATCATTTTTTTTCTTTTTAACAAAAAGAGCACAAAACCACTGATTTGCCTGCTACATATCGTTAACAGCAACACTACTGCTCTCTAACTACTCTTATCTAACATCCTCCGGGATCTGGTGTTCAAAGGACCCCAGGGCTAAGATCTTCAATATCCAGATGATGATGGTGATGACACTTGGGCTTTGGGGTGAGGTTGGCTGGGGGGCGTGGGGCGGACTGCAGGAATCAAACGCCAAGAAGCATTCTGAGCAGTCCCATACCTTTGACTTTGACCTGGAAGCGATTGCACTCAGGACAGGGGAGTAGAGTAAACTCCTCTGCTTGGTACATAGAATAGTCTGTGCTTGCAACCACGATCTGGTCTCCAGGTTTCCAGCTACTAACATCATCCAGCAGATGAAGCTTCACTCCATCCACAACCTCCACCCGGAAACCTGAAAGAGAAACACCTAAACCAAAAAGCAAAGAAGAAAATGATGCATTAGTGGCACTTTCCCCCCTAAAATCAACCTCCCCACTGACTCACAAATCAAAAGTTAAGATAATCTTGACACAAGTCAGTACATTTTTACCAGCGCTAACCATGTGCCTGTCATTCTGCAGATACTGATGATAAAAAGATGAACCTGGACAGCCCTGACCTCCAGGGTAGAGAGCCCCATGTTCCCCTAAGCATGATGCTATAGGAAATGTCCCACTATTCTTGATCTCCAATCTCTCGTTGCACTTCAACTCAGAGCTAAAACTATATTAAGTGCTTCCAAGCAGTCCTGAAATGTAGTAAGAACGTATCACACATAAGTAGACGCTGCCAAACACGGAATAGGTATGTAATAAATACTCAGTGCTTCAATGTGATCCAGACACAGGATGAGAGATAGAACATTAGCACACACATAATCTTAAGAATAAAAGTCTGCCTTAGGCGGTCTCTCATTTCTGGGCCTTTGTTCATACTTAATTCTTTAGCTACAACGTACTTCCACTCTTAATCCGCCAAGATACGATCCCCATCTTATAAAGGTCAGGCAGGTCTTTTTTTTTTTTTTTAAGTAATCTCCCCCCAACGTGGGGCTCGAACTCACGACCCTGAGATCAAGAGCCACACGCTCTACTGAGCCAGCTGGGCACCCCAAGATCAGGCAAACCTTTAAAGACTTCCCCAACCCCCTTGCTGGAAGCAGCCTCCTTCTCCAGTATTTCACTCTAGTGTTCCCTCTGGTATTATCCATGCCTGTCCAGTGGGAGACTAGCTCACTTCCTTGGAAGGTGCATTCATGAAGGCAGCAGAGTATGTCCACCTGTATATGTGCCCCGCTATTTCGTCATGCAAACTCACAGATGTCTGCTGAAGGGATGAGCATTCCCACTATGATCTTCAATGTCACCCAGAGACCACAGGATAGTGTCCCTGTCTAACGCTCCTTCCCTGTAATAACACCACCTCTGCAATCTGTGTGACCCAGGGACTACTAATCACTGACCTCCCCCAATGCCTCCTTTTGAAACTCGAAGTTGGTTCCCAATTAGGCAGACAAAAACTGCAGTTGATCCAACATCTCCTTCATTTACTCTTTTATGTGCAACCAAGTATAGAAGCATTTCCTGCTTCTAAAACATCTGTGACAGAATCTGTCACAAACCAAAAGCTGACTTAATGCAACTGTATACACAATAGATAGAAGCTAGTTCATAAGCTCAACGGAGAAGAGAAAACACCGCATCTCAAAGGTATCTGGTGCCCAGTATGTGTACTTACAACCATCCTTCCAATTAACTGCACACTGCTCTGGGGTGACTTTAAGATACCGACACTAAGGGTCAATGGCAGGAGCGAAGAAACACATTGACTCAAGTTAGGGAACTCAGAAAGTGGGAAATTCGGGCAAGGCACAAGGAACACCACAGATACCCTAACAATCCTGAGCCAACCCTCCTGATAAAACCTAACCTGAGCAAGTCGTGGATTCTGTCCCTTCAGATGCCAACCTACCGTACGTTTGTTTTCACAAAGGACCAAAAGAAAAGTACTGGGGGAGAAAAAAAAGTAAAGTAGCTTTTTTTTTTTTTTTTTTACATATTTCTTACATCTAGATACTAAAGCCTATGAGGAGATTTGGTCTAAAAGATTAATAGTAATGACTCTAGGGGCGCCTGGGTGGCTCAGTTGGTTAAGCGACTGCCTTCGGCTCAGGTCATGATCCTGGAGTCCCAGGATCGAGTCCCTCATCAGGCTCCCTGCTCAGCGGGGAGTCTGCTTCTCCCTCTGACCCTCTTCCCTCTCATGCTCTCTGTCTCTCATTCTCTCTCTCTCAAATAAATAAATAAAATCTTTAAAAAAATAATAATAATAATGACTCTAATAACAACAGCTAATAGTTGCTGGGACTTCACACACATAATAAACTTTTTTTAAGCACAAAAATAACCAAGAACCCCTAGCAGCAATGACAATCGTTGCCCAAATTTTCAGATTTTTACCAAAAAAAAAAAAAAAATCTAAAAAAGAACAACTAAGAAACATTAATTTTTTTCATAGAATTTTTCAAAAACTGCTTTTTAAAGAAGAGGACTGCTAGATACATCAGGTTCAATGCCAAAGACCATTAGAATTTGTTTCTGTTTAAAAAAGAATTCAGATGGTTAGAGTGGGAAGATCCGTGTTATTCACTAGGTCCTCACTTTTTCCTAGCTTCAGAAGAAAATCCTGCCTAAGATTTCTTCCCATTAACACCAGCGAATTGGAAATATGAAAGGAAATAAGCTCACCCTCCTTGCTTCCTGGAGAGATTCCCCACCTCTTCCAGAAAGTAAGAGTCATTGAGAACACGGGACCCAATATCCTATGATAGCTAGAGTGGACCCTCTTCCAGAAATGAGTAGTCACTGGTAATGTGGAAGTGAAAACAAAATTTTCCACAGAGGAAATGTTGATTGAGGTTCGTCAGTAATTATCCTCTACATGAACTCTTACTGGAAGCAATTCCACTAAGCTCTTCGTGCAGGACCAAATTCTTGCTAAGAAATGTTTCTCGTCCGCCTCTGCTTTTTGCCAGAGGCAACCATGATGGGGTAGAAAGCAGTGGTCTTGGAGGCAGAAAGCAGAGCTTCCTCGTCCATAGTAGGTACCACCTCCTCAGCCCAAACCCAGCAAGCTGCTTAGAAGCAACGTGTGAAAGTCTCTGTTACATACGAGGAACTCTATTTACCTGTTTATTTTATTTATTTTTTTTAAGATTTTATGAATTTATTTGAGAGAAAGTGAGTGAGCATGAGCTGGGTGAGGGGCAGAGGGAGAAGCAGACTCCCCGCTGAGCAGGAAACCCGACGCGGGGCTCAATCCTGGAACTCCGGGACCATGACCCGAGCTGAAGGCAGCCACCCAACCGACTGAGCCACCCAGGCTCCCCTACCTGTTTATTTTAAAGCAAAGGATTTTGTCTCTTTAATTACAGTGGTACAAAATACACCATTATAACCCAAGTCATGTTTGGATCATCATTAAAATAGCTAACACCGGGGCGCCTGGATGGCTCAGTTGGTTAAGTGACTGCCTTCAACTCAGGTCATGATCCTGGAGTCCTGGAATGGAGTCCTGGGATCAAGTCCCACATCAGGCTCCCTGCTCGGCGGGGAGTCTGCTTCTCCCTCTGACCCTCCCCCACCTCATGCTCACTCTCTCATTCTCTCTCTCTCAAAGAAATAAATAAAACCTTAAAAAAAAAAAAAAATTAGCTAACACCCAGTGCTTCCTAGGCACACTGTGTGAAAAACTTCATATTCTTCCCCCTGGATACCCACAGCAGCCCTATGTGGTAGTTTCTCTCATCGTGCCCATTTTTCAGATGAGGAAACTGAGCATTAGGAAGTTAAAGTCACATGCCCACCATCACACAGTAAGTGAAAGAGCTGGGCTCTCTGTCTCCAGAAATCCATCTTAGTAAACAGTGCTACCCTGCTGCTCAAAACCGAGGTATGAGCCCTAAAATCAACCCTTCTGGGTAATAAGGCACTTCTCAATTACTCATTTCACAATAATTTTGGAATAATTTTTGCTTACAAAAGAAAGGTTGTGGGCAAGCACAAACAGGAGGCTTGCCAATCCATACCTGGCGCCAAAAATTCTGGCAGCAAAGTAGGTGAGTAAACATCCTTAAAGAAACAAGTCAGGGCTACCCTAAACACCCAGGGCTAGGCATTATTTGAACAAATTATGGTTCCTCTAAAAGGTGAATGAGAATAAAAATTATGTTGAAAAAAGAAAGTTAAAGACCTAAAATATTATTTAAAGCGAGGGAAACAAGTCAGAACAAAATGAGCACTAGGGGAGAGAACACACATAAGATAAAAATGACTAGATTATTTGCACAAAAACAAACCTCTCTGAATGATAGGGTTAGAGCTTAATTTTTACTTTGTACTTTTCTGTGTTTTCCAATTCGCTTAGAAGATAAAGGCATTAGCTGGATCAAGGAAAAATTGCTAAGAAAACGAGAGGTTTGTTTATATAGCATGTGTGCAAGAGTAATATTTGCTACATGTCTACATAAAGAGAAGATCCAAAGAACAAAAGCATATTCACTGTGACAGAGCGTAACCAAAGGCAGCTCACCCTATCACATCTAGATTGGTTCAAACGGTACCAAATCCAGGAAACAAATCCATCTCTAATAGTTAACCACAACTTTATGACTCGAGAATCAAGAACAAAGTCCAGTGGGGAGTGACCAAACTAGAAAAGAGCATTCTCCAATCGAGCAAGAACTCTTTTGAGTTGAGAGGATCAACTGGAGGAGGGAAACTATAGGTTTCATCTTCAACCAGCTGAGACAGCTAATCAGACTGTCCTTTGAATGCAATACCACCTAAAGAAACCAGTCTTTCACAGTACTTACCAATGTCTTACAAGGGTCTCAACCGTACTTGCTTACCTTCAATCCATTCACTATAAGCTGTTACGGTGAATTTCTGACCATCCACAGTATAAAATTCTCTTTGGGCAAGAGCCTTCCCTCCACTGCTGTGATTTTCATAGTTTCTCACAGACTCATTGCAAGAAGTACTTCCTCCATCAATGACACCAACCAAAGCCCACGCTTGCCTAGAAGGGAAAAGAGCATGTGCCTTATTTGTCACGGTACCAACCCAGATCCTTGACACAGATGTTATGTCAGGTGCTGCTTAATGCTTGTATTTCATTTTTATCAATCCCATTATCTCTTTTTCCATGAGGTTGCAAGTCCAAACCTTGACTGAAGTCACCGACGTCACAGAAGGAAATGCATCTGGATTTTAAATCCTTGTTTGTCTAGCTCTGTAAGAGGTGAAACACCGATGGTTGGGACTAAAATGAATCACTGTCTTCCTTCCTCAATGCACACCCCTATTATTCACCTATCATTCTGGCCACAAACCCATTTATTTCCCTTATTTTAAAATGAGTATGGCACGCACCTGAATGTTTAGAGCAGCATTATCTACACTAGCCAAACTATGGAAAGAGCCCAGACGTCCACCAACTGAAGAATGAATAAGGAAGACGTGGTGTATATATACAATGGAATGTTACTCAGTCATAAAAAAGAATGAAATCTTGCCATTTGCGAAGACATGGATGGAGCTAGAGTTTACTATGCTAAGAGAAATAAGTCAGTCACAGAAAGACATATACCATATGATTTCACTCATATGTGGAATTTAAGAAACAAAAGAGATGAACATAGGGGAAGGGGGGAAGAAAAAAGAGAGAGGGGGAAGCAAACCAGATGAGACTCTTAAATATAGCAAACAAACCGACAGTTACCAGAGGGGAGGTGGGCCGGGGGATGGATTGAAACAGGTGATAGGGATTAAGGAATGCACCTGTCGTGATGAGCACAGGGTGATGTCTGGAAGTGTTCAATCACTATACTGTACACCTGAAACTAACATTACACTGTAGGTTAACTGACTGGAAATCTAAATAAAAACTTTAAAAAGAGAAAAGAAAAAATTAAAAATAAAATGAGTATCGCCTGCTCTCTTTTGAGCTCTCAGCAATGTTCCCAAATCTGGCTGCACCACAGAATGACACGGGGAGCTTTAGGAAGCCATCCACACTCAGACCCAGCCCAGACTGATGCCATCATCATTTCTCCAGGCGGGGCATGGCATTAGTATGTTTTCAAAGCTCCCCAGACGATTTGAATGTACAGCCCCACTCGAGAACCACTGAGTTAGAGAGTGGTTCTCACACTTTGGTCAAATCAGATTTGATTTGGGGCCCCACCCGCTGATTGCTTGAGGTGAGGCCAGAGCATGGGCATTTCTAACAAACACCCAGGTGATGCTGATGCTCCTGGGGTGGGGACCACACTGAGAACCCCTGAGTTAGAGGTCAGAGGTGAGAGCAGTAGTGACCAGCCCTGACCGCACATCAAACACCTGGGGGCCCTCCCCTTCTTATGTAAAAATTTCTAAGGGGGCCTTGGGCATGGGATTTTTTAAAAAAAAAATCTCAGGAGTGCAAAGCTGAGAACCACTGGGTTACTGGTTTCTTAATAATCTTGAATCAAAGTTGTATAATCACTATCCAACGGACTGAAAATTTTGCATGTCATGTATCTATTTGTTAAAAACGACTGTGTTTTGAAAATGCCCCTTAATTTCACTTTATTTCTGTAATAAACATCCCAGGGACTTGCTCAAACTTATGGCCAAACTAAAAAAAGAACAAAGTCAAAAAGCCAAAAAAAAATTTGCCTTAAGACTCCTGGTTTAAAACCCGGAAAGAAAAATGTCAATTTCCTACTCTGGAGGGATATATATATATGTGTGCGTGTGCGTGTGCGTGTGCGTGTGCGTGTGCGTGTGTGTGTGTGTGTGTATGCCAAATGTAATCTATGCCAGACAGATGGCTGGATATTCAGATAAAAGTTAACCAAAGCATGCCTATAGCCTTATAAATTCCACACCTGCCCCTGCGTGGATTAGCTACTCTTCAGCTGACTACGCTTTATAGCTCTATTTATATTCCTTGATACAGCACAAAGAATCAAATGCCAAATGTCTCAAACCATTATCTCCTATGTGAGAGGAAAGGAGAAGAAATAGCAGAGGTTTCCTTTATTTACCAGAGCTGCCTCAGCAACTATAAAACAATGTTCTATTCTCCTGACATTATCTCCAAAACACTCCTACTTCCCTCCTCCACTTGAGGAAAATTTCACCACACAGAACAGTATCTTCAAAGGCGGGTGTTTATGTACATTGGAGATAAGGTCAAAGCAATGGAACATTGGCAAAGGATCACAACTCAAATTCCTCTGTCAAATCAGCAGCACTATTTTCAAGGGAGTTTGGAAACCAGGAGGAAAGGAACCCAAAAAAGCCAAACAAAATATTCACCACTGATTATCATGCAAATCCAGGAAAATAATGGAGTAAAGAGACAAAAGTTGTCATCCTGGCATATACTGGATAATGAAACAGAGAGATCGTGTTTCCACTCCTAGGTCTATAAATTACAGAACTATGGACACATGGGTTTTAAGAGATGGGTAAAAGAACATTGGAGAAGCCCTTTTTATAACAGAGGTCTGAACTCGACGAGATGTCCAGCAGTGCGTACACTGGGGTAAAGTCACACAATAGAAAGTGAACAGCAATGAAAACAAGTCAGCAAGCACGCACCAACACACATAACCCCCAGTTAACACAGTTGAGCAAAGAAGCCAGATGCAAAATAGGATATATTGTCTGCTCACATTGACACGAAGTCCAAAAACAGGCAAACCTAAACTTCTCACATTCTCCCCAAATTCCGGTGAGTGGTTATCTTTGCTGAACAGAGGGAGTGATCAGTGAAACAGAGAAGACACAGCCAGGGGGCTTCTGCGCCACTGGCAATAATGATCTATGACTTCAGCTGGAGGGTGACTATCCAGGTGTCACGCTGTGATTAAGTCATTAAACCCTGCATTCTTGTTTTTAGCACTTTTCTGCGTGTGTATTATATTTAATCCTAAAATTTTTAATTTAAAACCTCCGAGGTTTGCCACCTGCCATTCCCTGTCTAGAAAGCCCTCCTTCTCCAACTGCCTACAGAGCATACTTCTAAACCCCCCTCGGGTTTCTCATCTTTGGGAAGCCTCCACAGGTTCCCCAAGCCGATCCGGGGGCTCCCTGTACTTGCCCTCCCATTCCAGCCTATAAGCAAGGGTCCCACTGTTTGCTCCCATCTATTTAGGTGTGTTTATCCACCGGATTAAACAAGGGCTCTGAGGTAGTGTCCTTTCATCTCAGCACCTAGGGGTAACCCAGCACTCAGCACCTCCTCAATATCCCCGGGGTGAAGAAAAGGCATTTTGAGAACATTACAGACACTTTTCTTCATTAATTTTGTCTTCTTAACTTTCTCTAGAATTTCTGCAGATACTGTTCCAGTCCAACAACCAATGGAAGGAAAATAATAACTAGATCCATCAACCATCCGAGGAAAAAAATAACTAGACCCTTTCAATATGAGAGTTTTTTAAGTGCTCTTCCTTTTCACGGCAGACTCATTCTCTGGCTTTACGGAGAACAGTAAGCAGAATTAAAACTTCTCTTTTCTGAATTACATGTTGAGCCAGCTACTTCCCCCAGCCTCAGGGCTCGATGAGGAAATCCTGGTGAGCTCGAGGAGGGCCCAGGCTCCAGTAGCAGCGGCAAAGACTCTCACCGTGTGCATGAACTTGCTAGCCCTCCAATTTCTGGCTTTCCTCACCTGGCCCAGGTTCCACAGCCCTGCCCCAGTCAAACAAGCAGATGCAAATCAGCAGGCAGAGGACTCCAAAAAAGGAAAACAACACTGGGCACGTGCCCCTCCCTCAGGCTTTGCACCCCCCCCCCACACCGCGCCCCGGAGCTTTTACACCTTCGTGCAGAATCAAGTAGCCTGAGTTTCATATGGTTTGCCCAAGGTGATGAAAGAGGGAAGGAAACTGCCCTGGAGCTGCTGTTTCTCAGTAGCACATTCCTGTTCTTCACTTTTCAAAGCCTGACGCTCCGGTCCAGAGAGTGCTTCATCAACCGAAGCCAAAAGAAGAGCGTTTTGTAACCAGCGTCTTGTGCCCCCCAGACCCATGTTTCAAAGCAAGACTGGCCATATTCTGACACCCAAAGCCAGGCTGTGGCGTGTTCTGTCCCTTTCTGCAGCCCTGTCATACAGACACAGACTCCAACACGGGGCTGGGAAGGAAGGTAAAAGGTCTGCCCACCTGTAGCCCAGTCCTTGGATCAGCTTACTTCCCAACCGGTCCTGGATCATTTGTATGGTTCCTTGTAAGAGGCTCTTGGCTGCCGAATCTCCGACGGCTATGGCGACAATCCGGCCTGGGTCCTGTATTCTCAGAAATTCCTGCAGTCGTCTACTCTCATTGTGGTATTCGTGGGTATCAAACCTCACACTTTCCAAAATTTTGGCCGTGTCTTGGTCAATGATCCTCACGTTGAGGCCCCTAGAAAAGTCCTTTTCAAAGGCGTAGGACCCAAAGGTCAAGCCTGAGGAATGCAGAGTTCTCGCCAACAACGTCCACGAGACCTTCTGTGCCCCGTGTATCTCCAGTGTCCCACCAGCTTCCACACCAATAAATTTTTTGCCAAATGTTGGCATACTTTCACCTTCATCTGACTTGCCATACAAGGCAATTGTCGCTTTGGATTTATAGCGGCATTTTTCTGCTCCAATATGAAGCGCCCCACCATCCTTGATCAGGATGTAACGAGTCCTCAAAGTAATATTTCTGGATCCATCTTTATCATCACCAAACACAAGCAATCCTGCAAGGGACAAGACTAGTATCAGCCAACTTCCAAAACATCTCTCTGGGATATAGAGAAACAGAGTTTACCTTAAGTGGGGGTGGGGAAGAAAAGACTTCTGCAGTTAAGTTGGGGAAAAAATTCACTAAGAGTCTGCTTAGAAAATTAAGCCTGTTTTCAAAATAGTAAAGGTAGAGGGCGCCTGGGTGGCTCAGATGGTTAAGCGTCTGCCTTCAGCTCAGGTCACGATCTCCAGGTCCTGGGATGGAGCCCCACGTCGGGCTCCCTGCTCAGCGGGGAGTCTGCTTCTCCTTCTTGCTCTGCCTCTCCCCACTGCTCCTGCTCTCTCTCTCTCTCTCTCTCTCTCTCTCTATCTCGCAGTCTCAAATGAATAAATAAAAAAAACAGTAAATGTAGAAATGGAGAGTTCATGTCTCAGCATGCTAGAAATGCCCAGGGGCATGAATTTCAACCCATTCACCTTAGGACTAAATTATTTTTAGAAAAATATCTAAGAGCCTCCAAATCATTTTTACATATGTTAACCCATGTTAATTCTCTCATCACTCTCCGTAGCTGTAACAAAGATTTAGCTACAAGAGATCACCTTCTGGAACTGTTTCCTCTCCTATCAATCGGAGGTCTTGACTTGAGTGATTTCTAAGGCCCTCTTAGCTCTTGAACTCTATGGTTCATGGATACTCATGCCCCATGGATAGACCAACACCACATTCTAAAGGCTAAGAACAGTTTTCTACATACAGAACATCAAATGCCCCCCACAGCAATGAGCAGCCTTGCAGTCCCCACAGGCAGGGACCATTCCTCACCTCCATCCTGAATGACTATAGAATTCACCGTGGCATCCGAGGTCAGACGGAACATATCTCCCTCCTTGATAACAACTTGCTTTGCAGAATCTTGTCCTGGATCCCAGTTCCTGAGACGTGGGTTCTGATCTGGGCAATTCTCTATAAAAAAAAATGCAACATCAGGATCGCAACAATGCAATAAAATGCAAGAATGCCTTTAGCCAGATCCAAGTACTACCCTCATTTTTTGCAATCTGCAGGTGATGGGCAGACCTGTTTTAAATCCCTGCCATAAGGATAGAAATCCCATCCCATTCTACCTAGCAGATATATCCAATCCTTTAACTTCAATGCATAAAAAAGGTTGCCCTACACAACTAAGTTGCTACCATCTAGCTCGGGTCAAACTCCACAAGGTAAACACGGAGTTCCCCTGAATCATCTAGTCTATAAATAAATTAACAGCAAGAGGCAAAACTGTGATTTGTCTTTGGACCCACACTAGGAAGCAGTTTTAGAAAACGAAATATATTCACAACATACTAGTAAATTAAAAATGGGAACTGCTAAGTAATAGGTATGTCAGGTCTTCCCAGGTTCCTTCCTGTGCACAGTAGGTGACAGAAGCACCTCTATCATTCCATAGACCCCAGCTGATAAATACCAGCTATCTGCAGATACACACGCTTTCCCAGTGAAACTGGAAGAGGCAAACGGCCCAAGGCATGACTTCTCATTTTCAGAGATGAGGAAACTACAGATCAGAGAAGCCAAATCCAAGATTACTCAGCAAGCTGAGTGACATGCAAGTTCCCCCTTAAGAAATGAGGTTTATTGGATGTGTCGCGTTCCTTTACTAGAATTAGGATTTGCCCTTTGAACAGATGAGGATGGAAACATAAAAGTATTCTGCGTTGCCACAGCTATTTAATGCATGAGACCTTTAGTTGCTGCTATAATTGGAGTGGAGGGCAGGAATCATACGGGTTTCGATCAACTCCTGACCAAGTATTTACGGAGGATCCATTTGCTCACTTTGTACTAGATACTGTAAAATTTATAAAGCACACAATGAACTCACAGCCTGCAGAGCTTACACTACAGCTTGGGAGAGAAGCCACCAGCTAGGCAACAACTAAACACTGCAGAATGTGGTAGTCGCATGATGCGCAAATGAGCTCAGAGAAGGGAGGGGTGGGCTGGAGCACCTGAGACAGTTTCAACGAACAGGACACTAGACCTGGACCCTCAAAGGGCAGATGGTACTTAAATAAGAGGAGCATGGGGGCGCCTGGGTGGCTCAGTAGGTTAAACATCCGACTCTCGATTTAGGTTCAGATCATGATCTCAGGGTCATGAGACTGAGCCCTGTGTCGAGCTCCATGCTGGGGCGTGGTGCTTAAGAGTCTCTGTCTCTGTCTCTCTCTCTGTCTCTCTCTCCCTGCCCCCCACCGCCGCACCTCCCCGGGTTCCCTCTCCAAAAAAAAAAAAAAGAAAGAAAGAAAGGAGCATGAAGGTGAGAGATGCAAGTACCCCTCGCTACCCAAGTCCGTTGGTTGCTCAGTTAGAAGGGCAAGGTGCAGCCCATATTTAAACTCAGCCAAGGTAGAGATAGGCAAGGTGTGCTTGGGAATTATATGAAGGTGGAAGGTCCATGTTGGGAAATCATAGGAGGAAAAGTAGAGAGGCTGAGTGCAGCACCAAGATATTAATTTTTATGGAAAGAAAATCCTGATTCCTCGTTTTGAATTGTGTAACCCTTAATGCAAACATCTCATTTCTAAGCACTCATGTTGCCCTGGGCTCAGGCTCTCTCTTTGAGGTGACAGTAACGACTGCAGTTAAAATCAGCCTCACTGGTTAAGTCCTTGGCAATTATCTCATGTAATTTTTCTCAAAGCAGTTTCATAATCACCAATACTTAATTCAGATAAATCAGTGATTGTTACTATTAGACTAGAAATAATCCTTAAATGTTTCTTTCCGTTGAAGAAACAAGAAATCTCTTAAAATGTGTTCTGACTTAATACTAAGGATTTCTTAAACTTCTCTTCAACCTCCCTCTCTTCCCATAAAACATCGAGCTGGAACTCTCCATGATGTTACATCACAAGCAAATATATGCCCCATATAACAAGCACTATATACCCAGCTACCGAGAAGGAAATCCAGTTTTTTTACATGTAGAACCTACCAAATGGTTATATAATTTCTCTTGGTTTTTGTTTTGTTGTTGTTTTGTTTTGTTTTTTTAGAGAGGAAAAGAGAGAATCTTAAGCAAGCTCCATGCCCAGTGCAGAGCCCCACGCAGGGCTCGATCTCACAACCCTGAGATCATGACCTGAGCTGAAATCAAGAGCCAGACGCTTAATTGACTGAGCCACCCAAGTGCCCCAATTCCTCTTGTTTCTAATTATTTCCCAGGAGAGCATGCTTCCTTAGGAACCATCACCGAGAACTCTCGTCTATTTCCTTCCAGTAAAGTACACTTAATGAGGGATGTCTGGGTGGCTCAGTTGCTAAGCGTCTGCCTTCAGCTCAGGTCATGATCCCAGGGTCCTGGGATCCTGGGGTCCTTCCCTGCTCAGCGGGAAGCCTGCTTCTCCCTCTCCCACTCCCCCCTGCCTGCGTTCCCTCTCTCTCTGTCAAATAAATAAATAAATAAATCTTAAAAAAAAAAAGTACACTTAATGAGGAAATCCATGGTCTGCAGAAAGCACTGACAAATAGCTCAAAAGCCCCGCCTTCCTGGCTGCCCACTGTTAAGCTGCGGGTTCATTATTAAAATTATATAACAGCAATAACCAAAGTGAGGCTGACCCCGAAGGATGTCAACATACCACGTATTTCTACCAAAGTTCTACACTTATACTGCCAAAATGTGAAACTACAGAACATTGATTCAAAGGAACCACATCAGTGATTCACGGTCTTAGATGGAAAATGAAAACATCAATTAAAGCCACGGATTTCAGCTCTGATCTTCCCCCCAGATCTGGCATCTCTTTACTGCAGATTACTTGTGAAGAATGATTCAACTGCAGCAAACTTGGTGATTTTGCTGGAGAAAAGGGAAGAGAAAATCAATGCGAGGAGCCAACAGAAAGCAATGTGACAAATTCATTCCGTGGTCGACTGGCCTGGTCAACAAAGATGTTGATATGAACATCTCTCTTACTTCAGGTCTATTTTCTTAGAAGCATTGACACAATCTCCCCCAGGACTTCAAAGTCTATAAAACCCCTACAGCACTCATGGAAACTAAATAAAATAGTATTCGTAAGTCTTGCAAATGATAACATGCTTCTCAGATGTTGTATCCATTTAAGGAGGCATCTAATTTGACAAAAATCTGTCCTAGATAGTAAAAGAACAAAAAAAAACTGCAGACAAAAATGATGCCCCAGTCCAGGTTGTTATGGTCCGCTTCTCCTTCAACAGCCCTGAGCCATCTGATTTTCAGCCTGGTGGATGGGACTCTATCCTGAGCCCATTCTTTATTGATACTAGATTGAGACTGACAATGAATTTCTTCAAAACCATTTGAAGTATTGATATATTACCAACTTGCAAAGCAAAAACCATTTAAGAAATGAAAACCCGCCCACAAGATATTTAATTAGGAAGTAATAAGGGATTTTTAGATAAATGTATCAGACCTTAAAGCTCCTAATGGATGTTTTCCTTTCGGGATACAAATCGTTCCTCAAAAATACTTGAATCTTAACTTTTAGCACTGTCTCCCAACCAGTTTCAAGCCACAGAACACAAATCTTAGTATTTTCACTCATTTAAAAATAAAATCAAATGTAGTTTTATCACTACATTTAGTAATTTTTTTTAATATATATATTTTTTTAATTTTTATTTTAAGTAGGCTCCACCCCAATATGGGGCTCAAACTCACAACCATGAAATCAAGTCGCACACTCTACGGACTAAGCCAGCCAGGTGCCCCTACATTCAGTAATTTTTATCACTAGAAACTTTTGGCAGTCAGAAAATCATACCTACCACAAAGGATGAAATTATGCTATCTCAAGAATTCAGTAAAGATTCTTAAAATGAACATTTTGAAAAGAAATGCTCCAAAAACATCTTGAGCACTGGGACAAAATAGCAAAATGGAAAGAAGAGCAATCCTTCGGTTGTATCATTTCCAGTGGATTCCTTTAACAATTGCTTTAATAAGCAGTTATGCCTTCTATTCTCTAATTATATATGCATTAGTTAGAGCCAAGTTAAGGTAACACAAGCTTTTCTTTTTAATTCTATTCTCTTATTTCCTTCCCTCCTCCTTCTCCTAGAACTCGTGCTCTGTACACATGCGTGCCCACACGTGCGTACACACGCACTTACCATCTGGAGCGTATTTTGAGGAGATCCCTAAAATGACCGCGAGTGCAACAAAAAATGAGAAACTAGTGATAGCAAAGCAAATGAAGGTATTTTTGTGCCTCTTCTGCTTCTGGCTTTCTCTCTGGGCTTGCTGCTCTTCAGGGGAGAAAGCAAAGGTGGCCCGGGCTTCCTGTCTGATGGAGGTCAGTTTGGCTGAAGCTTGGCTCTTTGGAGGAGGAGGGGGCCGCAGGGGCACAACCTTCCCTGGCACGTAGCCAGACGAGCGATGGCTGCTTCCATTCTGAGGCTGGAGGAAAGCAGGGGAGTGTCCCCTGGAATCAGTGGCATGCATGATAAACTGTCACTGCGAAAAGAAAAAAAATTAAGGTTCAGAAATGTGAGAACTGGGGTGCCTGGGTGGCTCAGTCGGTTAAGCATCTGCCTTCGGCTCAGGTCATGATCCCGGGGTCCTGGGATCGAGCCCTACATTGGGCTCCCTGCTCGGCAGGGAGCCTGCTTCTCCCTCTCCCACTCCCCCTGCTTGTGTTCCCTCTCTCGCTGTCTCTCTGGTCAAATAAATAAATAAATAAATAAATAAATACAACAACAAAAAAGAAATGTGAGAATTGTAATGGCTTTTTTTTTTTTAAAGATTTATTTGTGTGAGTGAGCAGGGGAGGGTCAGAGGGAGAGAGAATCCTCAAGCAGACTCCTTGCTGAGTGCAGAGCCTGATGTGGGGCTCAATCCCAGGACCCTGAGATCATGACCTGAGCCCCTGAGCCGAAACCAAGAGTTGGCCGCTCAACCAACCACGCCACCCAGGCGCCCCTGTAATGGCTTTATGAAGTGTTTTTTATTGTGATCAAATCATGTCGCATGAAACTCACAACTTAAACCACTTTTAAAGTACACAATCTGGTGACATTCAGTACCTTCACAATTTTGCACAACCATCACCACCAACCATCTCCAGGACATTTTCATCATCCCAAACAGAAACTCTGTAGCCATTATGCAAGAATTCCCTGTTCTTCCCTTTCCCCCAGTCCCTGGTAAGCACTGTAATGACTCTGAAAATATCAAGTCAGCTCACACCCCTGATAAGAGTCACTAACTATCTTCTAATGTCACTGCTTCTTGGGCCTGGCTGCACATCTGAATCACCCATTAACATTAAAGCCCCGTGCCACACCCCAAACAATGAAGTCAGGATCCAAGCATCCCTATCTTTTAAATGCCCCCCACAAAGCGAGGCTAACGAGCACCTTGGTTGAGAGCCACTCCAAGGCAACCGTTCTCAATTTGCATTGTGCCTAAGAATCACCAGGGATATTTGTTATTTCCAGCTCAACTGGTGCAAAGAGGACCATGGATTTTATATCTTTAACACATACCCTGGTGAGACACTGAAGCAAGTGGTCACACTTTTTGAGTATCATGACCCTAAGCTCTTCCAGCTGAAGTTAAAGTCCATGCACCCTACGAAGACCACAAGTTCCAATAGACAAGCTTTCACATTTAGGTGTTCAATTTCCCTGCTAGATTTTTCTTTTGGTGAAGCAACTTAAGAATCTGTACTGTGTTATCCCTTAACTATAGACTATGAACTCATTTAGTGAGGAAACCTGACGTCTACATTCTCTTGTTAAAAAAGAGACAACAGGCCCAAAATGGAGTCCCTTGTGCTAAGGCCATGTCACCGAACCAAGACTTAACATCTAACCTAATTGTGGTTTCAGACTCTCTCAGGAATGTAACCTTTAACCAGTCTGAAGTTACCTGGTCAGCACTAGTAAGATAATCTGCCTGACAGACCCCTGCCTTCCCCCAAAGGAAGGTGACCTCGCCTGAAACAATCCACTCTTTGCTAGAAACTTCTTTTTCTGACCTCTGCCTCCCATTTTGTAAAGCTCCTTGGAGCCCCTTTCTATCTGCTAACATAAGATGCTGCCTGATCCATGAATCATTAAGTAAAGCCAATTAGATCTTCAAATTCACTCAAGTGAATGCTGTTTTTTAACAATCTCTTTAAATCTTCAAATTTTGTTTAAAAAATAGGCATTCAAATATTATGGTTAGGATAATTAAAAAAAAAAAAAAAAGTCTAACTCAGAATCCTTACTGCCAGGCACTGTTCTAAACCTCTCAACGTATATTACTCATCTAATACATTTAACACAACAAATCTCAGTAGCTCCCATGGTCCCCATTGTACACATGAGAAAAACTGAGGCCTACAAATGTTAATTAGCGAGTATATGGGAAAACCAGGACTCAAACCCAGGGCGCTAGAGTTCCGGCTCTTAACCGTTATACTAATGTGTCTTTCAAAACAATTGAGAGACGATAATGTCAAAGAAATCAGTTTTCTGATTTGCAAGGGTGTAACCAGAATGAGTCTGAAAGAGCACATTAATATTTTCAAGAATTCTTCATGCAGAAGTTCACTACAAATGATTCTTATCTAAGAGAAGCTGACACATAAACCAAGGTCCTTTTTATTCTTTATAGTAAGCTTCTGTGAGTTTCTGAATGAAAGAGTAAGTTCTGAATGCAACCCTATTCTGTTACTTTGCAAAGGCAAAGAAAGAATGCAAGGAAGCAAAAAATGCTATGCTTATATCATGTTCTTATTGGAAGGGCTGTGGGTAAGTAAGATGTGTTCAGTGCCTTCAGAAACATGATGTTCAACCTCTTCCCTTACTTCTCTTCCTTAACAACGAGAGCATCTCAGTGTCACCTGATTTCATTCAGTACCCTTGTAACTAATCCCCTCATCTTCTGCCAAAACAATGAATAAGATCCCAGTCACAGGGGTACCCCCAAATTGCTCTAAACTACAGCAAATCCATGAAACACAAAATGTGGTCATTAGAAAAGCCATTAATAAGCATTCCCAGGAACCAAACGACCTGGAAATTAATGGGGACAGAAAGGGAATCTAATCAGGAATTGATGCGGATTTTACACGGGGCAAAGAACATTCTCGGAGTCAGTGTGTCTGTCAAAAACACTTGGTTAGCGGGGTTTGATTTCCGAACAAAAGTAATTATTTAGATGAAGCTTAAGCTCTGAGACAAAGGGAAGAGAACACGATTCAAGGTGCTATTGAAGAAACTGCTGCATGTGCCAAACAGCAGAACGAAATAATAGAGACATCCTGCTGGAACAAATGAGAGAGTATAACAAAGACCCCTTTATGATCCTCTATTAACAAAGACAGGACGAAACTAGATATTCTTGAGTGCCAGGCTCACCCGGGTGGGAGGGGAAGCAGGACTATAATCTGCTCTGAAAGGGAGTGGGAAGCTTTTGTTCAAGGCTGCAATCATCTGATACTTCATTGTTTCAGGGTGAGAAAGGTTGTTATTACTTAACAGGCTGGAGGGCCCTTTTGTGGGCGATGATGTGTCTCCAGATGTACCCACAATATAGTAACAGGCAGTAAGAGGCTAAATGAAGCCGCCAACCCACTGGGAATAAATTTGTGTCTTCACATTCACAAAAATGATATCCTAATGTGGAAAACTCTGATGGTGTCTGCCACAAATTAAAATGGTCAATAAATGAAAAATAACTGTGGCTGTGTTTTCCCCATAACTCTTTTGTAAAACTAAATATATATATTTTTTAATTTTTATTATTTTTTTAAGTAAACTCTACACCCAACATGGGGCTTGAACTCATGACCCCCCGAGATCAAGAGTGGCTTGCTCTACCAACTGAGCCAGCCAGGCATCCCAAAACTAAATATATTTATGTTCATATATCCTGAGCCCATTAGCTCCACTTGACTGGAAAACATGTAAATGCATAAGCAACAGACAGAATCATTCTTTTCCTAAGAAGTAAACACACTGTTGAAACCATCTTAAAAATTACAACCAGGGACATTTGGTTGGCTCAGTCAGAAGAACAAGCAATGCTTGACCTCGGGGTCATGAGTTCAAGCCCCATGCTGGGTGTAGAGATTACTTAAATAAATAAATAAACGTTTAAAACATTACAACTAAAAAAATCATTTTATGGAGACTTCTTTCAATTTATCACCATTTTTTAAAGGTACAAGACACAAATACACTGCTTTAGAATTTCACTTTACATTTATGAGTTTACTTCATAATAATTTAATAATTCACTTATTATAATTCATAATACTACGATTACTAGTATTATGAATCGATTACTTAAAAATATGATCGCTAGTTATAGATTTCAATTCTTTGTGGGAAGATTTGACATTTCACTCATTCAATAAGCAAATGTGAGCTCTCTTGCAGTCACTAGAGAATTGTGGTGAGCACCATGGAGGACAGACAAAAGATTTGCAGCAACCCTAAGAAACACAATTCCTAAATTCAATTTTAATGACTTACTTGAAGGCAGAGTGGAATTGACCAAGGAAATACAGTTGACCCTTGAACTGGGGGGCGGTGAGGGGCACTGATTCCCGCCTCCCCCACCAAGCAGTCAAAAATCCATGAATAACTTTTGACTCTCCAAAAATTTAACTACTAATAGCTTACTGTTGACCGGAAGCCTTATGGATGACATAAAACAATGGATTACCACACATTTCATATGTTATATGTATCTACACTGTATTCTTACAATAAAGGAAGCTAGAGAAAAGAAAATGCTATTAAGAAAACACATTTACAGCTTGAATTAGTGTGAGTTTAGGGTTCTGAGAACAAAGAGGCACCTAACAGAAGAAAACATGAAGAGTTCCCTCCAGCTCTCAAGACTTCAAGGTGAGTCTGAGCTGTCATTTTAAACTTTTTATGACAGACCAATATTTTTACTCAATACACTAATAATTTGCTCATATTACATGTCATTTTTAAGAGGGCTGTCTTCCTCGTGTAAAGAACACAGTACTCTACGGAAAGAACACGTTAGCATTTTATGATGTACAGCCTGAGCTAAATCCCTAAACACTGACAGATAATCTAAAACGTTGGAAATGCACTCCATGAGGGTTTCAAAGCATAACTCTTGGCATATGAAAGTATTCTCTCATATGTATTTATCGGATGGTAAAAAGTAGCAGCCCAAAAGGCTTAGTAATAATTAACTAAAAAGTAAAATCATCAAGTAAATAAGTAAATATCATCTGTCGTATTTCATGCTATCACAGAAATAAATAAATATCATGCCATTAAAGATCTTCACAGGGAATTTAGGCAAAGATTTAAAGTAGGTAATACAAGAAATTACTAAGAATATGAAACCATATCAACTTGAAAGATATAAATGCAAATGCTGAAAAAGGGGAAGCATTCAAAATCTACTTCTTTTGTTAAAAAAAAAAACCTCACAAAAAACACCTTTAAAACTTGCTATTATTTATTTTTTTAAAG